CTTTACAGGAGGGGGAGACACTGCCTTTGTGTCAGGGAAATGGTCTCAGGACCCACTGGAATCCCTTTGTCTGCTGTGTTTTGGGCAGAACATTGAAACTATTTTAACCAAGGTCAAGAAAAACAATATCCAACTGCATTCCCTGGAAAGAAGCTCATCACAGTTTAATCTGTCTCTGGTTGTTGTACTGTATGCTCCAAACTCTGTATTCTTTACAGACACAGTAATCCAAAATGAAAAGCATCCTGACAATTTCAAGTTGAATATAACATAGACCGAATATAATATAAGTTGAATATAACATAGGCTGGAGCATCGCTTCTATGAAGTCAGGCTGAAGAGTTGAGGTTGTACAGCCTGGAGAAGAGATGGCTCTGGGGAGACCTTAGAGCACCTTCCAGTACCTAAAGGAGACCAGAAGGAAAGCTGGAGAGGGACTTTTTATGGGGGCTTGTAGTGATACAGAGCAAGGGGGAATGGCTTTAAACTGACAGATTTAGATTAGATATTAGGAAGAAATCTTTACTGTGAGGGACTAAAACAGGTTGCCCAGAGAAGTTGTGGATGTCCCATCCCTGGGTGTGTTCAAGGCCAGGTTTGATGAGGTTTTGAGCAAGCTGATCTCGTAGAAAGTGTCCCTGCCCATGGCAGGGCGGTTGGACTGGATGATCTTTAGGGTCACTTCAGCCCAAGCCATTCTGTGGTTAAAATGAGTGTCTTTTGCCTACTAGTGTCAGAAAAGTTAAAGTTTTTATCTGAATTTTCAGTAGAGAAAGAAATATCCAATGTGCTTGGATTGGTGAATAACATCTTAATCCTTTGGGTACAAAAATATAACAGAGCATAAATAGGAGAAGGTAAATACAATTTACCTGTCTTCTCTTGAAATGAAAGCCATGTGGAGCAAGGTGATCAGACTGGAAAAAAATCCCAAGTCTGCCTCTGTAGGGCCTTATCCAGAAGGATGTACGGGACTTTGCACAATAGTGTGACCCATGCCTGTGTCTGGGGACTGGTCGGAGCTCATGGTGTGCTTGTACCCAGTGGAATTGCTCACCATTACCTATGGCAGCCCCAGATGTCACCGGTGTGTACCTACGTACCGCTGCTTTTCAACTGTGCTCTGCAGTGAGTCAGATGAGGCTGTACAAGGTGACATTTCATCTAAAGCTGCTGCATATGTAGCCTTTGGACTAACAAAATTGCTGGTGCTTTTTGTGTGACAAAAGAGTACGGCGTCCAAGATAAACCAAGGAGAAGAGATCTGGGTATGCAAGCCTTCATTTAAAAAAGGCATCTTTCATCTCGCTGACAGTGAGGTTCCTGCAGGGCTTTGATTGCCCTTTAATTATGCCTGTTTTTCCTGGTTTGTTTGAAAGGCAGATCTTGTTAGAAAAAGGTGCTGTGTGGAAAGAACTTGGCTGTCTCTGCTGCCCTTCCTTGAGGGCACACAGCAGAGCTGTCGGATTAATTTTTTTTTCTGCATTATTAAAATGGAAGATTGTTTCTTGTAGATTTGAATGTAGGCACGGTGTGTTCCTCCCAACTTAGGTGAGGAGGGGTGTAAGGGGTCAGGTGGTTAAAGCAGGCTGGGAAGTCATGAGGTCTGACTTCTTCCCACGTTAGCTTCCAGCATGATCCCAGAGGAGGTGCTTTAATCCTTCTGCCTTCGGTCTTTTGTTGTGTGCAGCTGGGCCACTGCTCATCTGCCCCAAAGGCTGCAGGAATCTCAGCCTAGTGTTGGAGAAAGGAGACTCTAGTGTGTTGGGGTGAATGCCAGGTGTGGGGGGTTAGCAGTTCGTACCAGCTCACGCTTTTTGTGCTGTTCGGTGTTTCATCTGAGACCCCACCATTGTGGAGCCATTTGTCTCAATGACTGTCTTGGCTTTCATAAGCAAGAGATAGAAAAATCATGGAAAAAAATTAACAAAAAGTAAAAGAAAAATAAAGTCTGAGTTTGTTGGAGAGAAAAGCCTAGATATATGATTCCAATATAGACTAAAAACTTAACTGCCGAGCAAGCAAAATTACTTGAGAACAGGTTTCTAATCCCTTTAGAAATCTCAGTTTTAAAGAAAATCTGGGTAACTTTTGAGGGCTTTACTCATGTTTGTAAGTGCCCAGGCTTGACAGTGCTCTATTTTTAAGTGCTGCCTTTATGTCGAATCTTGGGAGGCAAGATGAAAATGGTTTGGTTTTTTTGTTTTGTTTTTTTTTTAAGTAACAGCAAATCTTAATATAGCTGAGAATGCGGAACTGCCTTTAGAAAAATAGGTTGAACACATGAAAAGGAATCTTGCTCAGCAGGCTGAAGACGCAGAGCAACTTCTGCGGTTATGTTTTTCTTTCTTCTGGCAATTTTGGGGTGGGGATGTAGCTGGCACAGTCACTTTGCCTTATGTTCCTTTTTGAATGCAAGTCAAATCTTCCTGAACAAAAAGCACCCGGCTGAAACTGTTTTAGCCCAAGCTGGAAGAGCTGTTTGCTAAAACTCTTGTTTTGTGAAACTTGAGGTATCCTGAAGTTGCTCAAAAATAGGAGTTACAGAATGAGTAGGGAGAAGTATATGGTCCTTTTGTACTGGCTCAGTACAAACAGAAGACAGGCTGGTGGCTCCCTGTAGCTTCAGAGAGGTGATTAGGTTTTAGTTGTCATCTCCTGCCTAGAGTCCTGAAGACTTAAATGGTATGAAAATGAAATCAGCTGCTTAAAGCCAAAGCTAATCAAATGAGGAGACTCTAAAGCAGGAGGATAATCTTTGTCATCTGACAAGCAATCCTGAATTCCCATGGGATACCCATGCAGCTCCACTGTAGTAACATGCATCTGTCATGCAGAGACTCTTTGACCTTCAGCCCAGTGTGGTGCATGGGCTTTGTGCGGCCAGTAAGCCATAAAAACTGAAAACAGACCTGAAGTCTCAAAAGAGAAGTGACAACATATACTGGAGAACTGGTGACTGGTATTCAACACTGCTGGTGTCCAGTGATGTGAAACTCAGTTGAGGGATTTCACAGAAATTTTGAGGCAGTGGTGGACCTGCTGACGTGGTTGCTTGGGCATGTTTTCCTTAAAGAATGAAGTAACTTTTTCATACAGAAATGAGTTATGCATGAATATTCAGTGTAGATAAATTTAAAATTAAATTTAAAATGTAAAAATATGCAAACACCAGAGCTGAGGGTCTTTTAAAAAACAAAACCCCTACTCAGGGAACGCAATCATTTAGGCTGTGCATACATCTGATTACCTAGCTCCTAAGCCGGTGAGAGCAGCTCTTCAGACTCCTTGAGGCTTCCCCCTGGGGTGTGCCAGTGCTGCAGGCAAAATGCCCTTGTAAAGCCAAAGGTAGCAAAAAGGGAAGCAGGTGGATAAAAGCTGGCAAAGCCATCCTTTGAGTTGGTCTGGGGAAGACTGAGAAGAGTTTATTTTAAAATAATTTTCCTGGCTGTGATTTGAGATGTATATAACACTGTCACAAAAAGTTGTCGTAGAACAGCACAGGTTTGGGAGAAGACAGAGAAATTGCTTAATTGCACTACTCTTCCTCCCTGCCCTGTCTTTTTATACAGCAAAAAGATGGAAAAAACATCCATGGTGGGGAAAAAACAATTACTTTATAACCCTAATCTGGTGATAGTTACAAAATTTCCATTTCCCCTCTTTCATTAAAACTGTTAAAGGGTGTTGCAGAACCTGTGCGAAGAGGCCCACGATAAGCGGCACTCAGCAAAACCAAAGCCCATAAGCTTTTCCAAGCCTGGCGTGAGCCTTTGCAGCTCCGGGAGGTGGCACCAGCTCACTGCGGAGGCTCGAATGGCGCTTCCCGGAAGCACCACCGAGCCATCGGGCCGTGGGGATGGTGCTGCCGCAAGATCTCCGGGAAGGTGCTTCTGGCTCCCAAGGCTTTTGATGACTTAGTGAAGCAGTGAGCTCCCAGCCTTTATTCTTGAGGCAGAGAGGAGAGGAGTCATTGCAGGTCTTGGTGGCTCGTAAATTCCTGGTAATTAATCCTTGCAGCTTCTTCTGAGACGTGCTGGTAATGGGCATTGTGCCTGTAGAAAAGCCTGGCACGCTGCAAGCCCATGTTCTGGATACAAAATACTCTGGTCTATCTGTTCATACTCACATAAGGATATTTCTTCCTTCTGTTAAGCAGCACTGGACTTGTTCTCTGCCTGCGTGTGTGTTTTGGCTTCTTTGGTTTTTCTTGGTTTTTTAGACCATTATGAAAATTAAATTAGATACATTCAAAATCACAGTTAATTTCCCATGTAATTAAGTTTTTTATAAGAATAATACAAATATTTCTCTTTCCCTTTCAATCTGAATGTTAACAGGATATTGCAGGTCTTACTGAGGAATATTCAAAGTAGTGTTCAACTTCTTAGTATGAAGCCCAGAAATTTTTACTGAAATAATGACATTATTCCTGTGTTTAAAGATAACGTGTTCCCTAATATTTTTAAAAAGCTTTTAATAACATTTACAAAAAACAACATAAAACCCCTTCAACCAAGTAGTTTCAAGCATAAGCTGCGATAGCAGCAGCTTATGTAAAACTCAGGAAAAGATTTGTTTTAACTTGCCTGAAGTAGCATAAATTTTTCGAAGCATGGTTGTGTCCTTACCAGGGTGATAAACACTGAGCAGTGAGGATTGAGTATAGGACAATTCCTTCTGCTAAAAATTTGATGATATTTGGGATTTCTTGGGTGGAAAAAACTGGGAAAGATGAGTGGAGTCTTCCTAAAGTTGGGAGAGTTCGTTGAAATCTATTCTGGATAAAGTGGCTTTGTCCCCTCTAATGGCTTATATAAAGACTTAAGAATGTTGTGGTGCTTGGGGATTTTATCTGATGTCTCAGAAGAAAAGAGGTCCTGCTTGTAGTGGCAAGGACCAGCATTTAGATCTCAGCAGTCACCGAGTAGTCCCTCACTCAGTGGTCAGCCAGAAGTCAGTGTGTCACTACTGATGGGTTCTGCTTTCTTCTTCTGCAGGTTTTCATTTCTGTGAACTGCCTCAGCACAGATTTCTCCTCTCAGAAGGGAGTTAAAGGCCTGCCCCTGAATCTTCAGATTGACACCTACAGCTACAATAACAGGAGTAACAAACCTGTCCACAGAGCCTACTGTCAAATTAAAGTCTTCTGCGACAAGGTAAGGTTGGGTCACTGTGCCAGTGACTGTTTGAGAAAGGCTGTTCTACAGCTTAGCAGCTTTTTTTTTTTCTCCTCCTAATTCTGTCACTTGCTATTTTGACTCACTGAAGAGTCCTGTCTGTGTCTAGCCTTTGCAAGGAAAAAATTTCAACCCCTTCTACTTGGCTTATAAATGTTGTGATGACCTCAGATAAATTTGCTGCTCTCAAAATGCTGGAGTGCTGAGAAGTGTTCCTAAGCATTGACTTTGGAGAAAGGTCAGTCAGTGGCAGACTGACACTGGGAAGTCCTGCAGAGTGCCTTCAGCAGGAGAAATCATTGCCAATGATTTGAGCAAGAGAAGGCTTGTCTTTTTCCCCAGGCTGTATTGTCTTGGTCCTTTTAAATTTCTTTGCCTGTTCTTACTGCACTTGTAATAAAAAAAAAAACAAACCAGTAACTTGCATATCTTGTGAGCAGAAAATGTATCACTGTGTGATACATCAGTGTAGCAAAGCCCCTTTACAAGCTGGGTGGGTGCTGTAGTTTGACTGCTCTGCCTTTCGATTTTAGCACACGGGGAATTGACGCCTGTCCCAAAACCACTGCTCACCAGAAGCTGTGAAAGAAACAGTAGGAGCTGAGCTGGAAGCCGCTGTAAAAGCTTAACTGCAAAGAAAGGGTGTTTCCTAATCTTTGTAACCTGTTGCTGCCTGAGCAGTCTTTTGAAGGACCATGGCAAGTAATGTGCAACGTTGCTATTTCCAGAGTGACCAAGATTGTTCTAGGCAGAGATAAATGCTTCCTGGACTTCCTCAGTCCTTCCTTTGATTGCTGTGAACCATGTGGACTTCCTATTCTGCTGGTATCCTTCTTGATTAGGGCCTCACATTCTTTGCATCCAGACTCTATAGGATGAACTTTTATAAGTGATATCTCAAATACCTCTGTGCAGCTGCAGGTCTGAGATGGGCTTGTAACCCTCACTCTCTAGTCCTGTGCTGGCTTTTCCCTGGTCACGCTGTGTGGTCTTGCCTGGTGATCGCCCAGGACACTGACCCAAAGATTCATCTCATGCACCACTGTTCTGCCTCCACTTACTGCCCAAAATATGCAGAGCCCTCTGCACTGTCCCCTTGCTGTAGCATCCCATTGACTCATCCTGCCATGTTCTGTTGTCCATCTACATGCCTTTAAATAGGCCCCTCTACTTTCCTGCATGGCTAGGAGAGCTGCCTGTAGCTGCTCCCATTGTGATGTTTTCAGCAAAGAATTTACAGGGAAATAGCATAGGCTTTCCAGAGCCATCTTAAAGATTTGCCAGTAAGCCTAAGAAGCTTGGGTCTTAGGGGCTTTCTTCAGGTCTTTTTTTTTTTTTTCTCCTCCTTTTTTAAATTTTCTTCTTTAAGATGAGACTGAGGCAAGCGTGCCATCTAAAGTTCTTTCCTTAAAGTAATCTTGTAGTCTTGTGTTTTATCAACCTGTATTCTCTATAAAACAGTGAATATGAACTTGCTGCAGGGTAGGGGGGGATCTTTTACTCATAAGTTGTTCAATCAATTGCTGACACCATGCTAAAATTACTGACAGGCTTGTGCTACTGCTAATAAGACAAATCAGTTAATAAAAAGGCAGATGTGTACTCAGCACATAACTTGGAGACCATTGGAGTCTGTCAGAAATTTCAGCAAATCTAGTAGTACAGGAATGGCAGTGCAAGTTTTATTTTCTTTTCAGATTTTGACTTTTTCTCCTGCTTTATTCCTCTAGACACTGCAAATTGTACCTGAATTAAAAGAGAAGGGAAAGAAGGAGAAATGCCAATCAAAATCAGAACAGGATAATAAAAAATAAGACTGAATCTAATCTTAAAGCACCTTCCCTCTCCCCCCTCTTCTTCCTGGGCTCAGCTTCACTTCCTAATTATCTTCCTCCTCCCCACAGCTGCACATGGGAACAGGGAATGGAGGTTGCAGTCAATTCATCACATGTTGTCTTCTGCTCCTTCCTCCTCAGCAGGAGGACTCCTCACACTATTCCCCTGCTGGTCCACTCCTGTGGACCCTGTGGGTCCCTCCCACAGGAGACAGTCCTTCACAAACTTCTCCAACACGAGTTCATCCCAAAGATTGCAGTTCTTCACAAACTGTAGGTCCGCCATGGGGTCACAAGTCCTGCCAGCAAACCTGCTCCAGTGTGGGCTGCTCTCTCCATGGGGCCACAGGTCCTACCAGGACCCTGCCTGCTCCAGCAGGGGCTTCCCATGGAGTCACAGCTTCCTTTGGGCATCCACCTGCTCTGGTCTGGGGGGTCCTTCATGGGCTGCAGGGGGACAGCCTGCTCACCATGGATTGTACCACAGGCTGCAGGGGAACCTCAGCTCCAGAGCCTGGAGCACCTTCTCCCCTTCCTTCACTGACCTTTGTGTCTGCAGAACTGTTTCTCTCACATATTCTCCCTTGTCTCTTCTGACAGCTGCTGCACAGAGGGTTTTCTCCCTTTTTTAAATTCATTAGCCCAGAGGCACTACCACTGCTGCTGATGGGCCTTGGCCAGCGGCAGGTTTGTCTTGGAGTCAACTGGCATTGGCTCTGTTGGGCATGGGGCAAGTTCCTTCTTAGAATAAACATCTTCTCAGAGAAGCCTCCCCTGTAACGCCCCCAAACTGCCACACCAAAACCTTGCCCCACAAACCCAATGTACTCATTGACCCTGATGCTGGCTGCTTGCTCCAGGCTCCTGTAAGAGCATTGGCGTTTCAGAAAGGGTGCCTATTTTCTGCATTGAATCTTGGGTAATCAGTCAGCTGGTTTTGAATGTTTACAGGACCATTGTTACTACAGTACCCACACCTGTTGCAGTCCTGAATGTGTTTGTCCTTGTGTGGCCACTCTTACCTGTAGAAGTTCTGTTATCCATGTTTATTCTGTGTAGGTCCAAGCCTATAGCGTGGAGGTGTGCTGGAAAAAAGCAGCAAAATCTGATGCTGTTGGCCTCCCAACGGGGACAGTTTTGTGTACGTGTCCTCAATTCCTTTGTCTGTTAAGACTGTGCTTGCACTGCACAGCTGAACTGACTTTGAACCCAGATAGTGGCATGGCAATCCTCTGCTGTCTTTTTTTTCTTTGTACAAATCAATAGATATCCTACAGAAGGTCAAACAGTTTAGTTGATGTTATGGGGGGGCCTTCACACAGGGAAGCAGTGAAAGAGGAGGGTTCCCATGCTTGAGTGGAAGGGAAAGCTCCTGATACATGTTTCTACGTATTATCTGCTGATTCTGAGACAGGTTTCTTCCTGTGTTTCTGTCTTCTCCTTTGTATTCTCTCTGTGGAAAGGGTGTCCACAGATGTCCCAGGATGTTTGGTTTTTATCTAATCCTATGTGGTTTCAAGACCTGAGTAAAGCAGTATGGGTGTAATGATGTCATCCTATTGCATGTTATGGTACAAGCTTCATTCAGGCTTGGCCTAGCAGTATTTGGGCTGTGCAGGGATGGGGCTGACCTGTCCTAGAGGAAGAAGATCTTCTCTGCTGTAAACGGTACCTCAGCTATGCATCCACATGAGGAAGATTAAATACAGGGTTTCACAGATTATAGCTAGTGTTGCCCTCTGGGATCTGTTGTTACTCTGGTACTGATGGGCAGTGCTGTGGGAAGGCTTTTGTGGGATGATAGGAAGAAGTGAGTGAGGTGCTGCTGGAAGGAGGGAGTGGATGCAAGGCAGCTGGGGGCGGGGTGGGCAGCAACACGGAGACTGTTCCTTTAGTTGCATGATCACAGGATGTTTTGGATTGTACAGGGCTCTTAAAGGTCATCTAGCCCAGACCTCTGCCATTGGCAGGGATACCTTCCACTAAACCAGGTTGCTCAAAGCCCTGTTTAACCTGGCCTTGATGACTTCTAGGGATGGGGCATCCACAGCTTCTCATGGGTAACCTGTTCCAGTGTCTTATCACCTTCATCGTAAAAAAAATTTCCTCTTTCTGTCCAATATAAATCTACCCTCTTTCAGTTTAAAACCATCTCTCCCTGAGCTCTGCTGCAAGGCAGAAAAGCCTATTACCAAGGCATAACTTGCTATTTTTATGTGGGATTTGAGATGTGTTTACCTGAACCCCAGTAGCTTGGATCAAGGTGACTTTCAAGCAGGGAATGGGAGGGCAGAGGTTTTCTCAAAATGTGTGCTCTTATTGGATCAGCATGTTCTCCACATGGAAGCAGGTGCTGTTCTGTAGCACAGTGTTTGAGTAGCAGAACTTTATTATTTCCATATGAAAGGTAAAAATCATATCTGGAGCCAATCTGATCTTTCTACTCTCAAGCTGAGATGTTGTGACTGTTCTGGTAAGGGAAGTCACAGAGGGGTGTGGGTCTAGCTCTGCTGAGGTTTAGGTGGGATGTCTTCACTGTAGTAGCTGTATCATCTTTATGGGGTCAAGCAGAGCTGGCAGTGCCTGTGTCTTCATGTGTAATTTTTTTCTCTTTTTCACAGTAACTGCCTGAAGCTGCTTGTGTCCCTCTCATTAGGTGGGAGAAAAGATGATACATATTAATGTGCATCCAATATCTTGGCTAACTTTCCTTCTTATTGCTAGTGCAGATGTTCCCATTGTTACCTAGGAGGCATAAGCAGCCTGACACCTATAGAGCATTGATTTAGTGGGAGGTAAGGAGGGCTGTTCCCCTTCTCCCATGCAGTGCACTGTTAGGCACCAATTCTGATCCCATGGCCACGTGGTTTTTGACACCGTGTTTGTCATAGCTAATCTCTTCTTCCCCCGGCACCATGTGAGGATGTGGGTGTGTTTTGTCAGCTTTACAGGAGTGGGAATGAGAAATAATGGCTTCCTATGGCCAGATAACTGTTACCTTTTACCCTGCTTTGCAAGAGGGTGTTGAGAGACAGGTAGAACTTGTATATACCAGTTTGGGCAATAATCTGATGGTAGCACCAGGATTGAGTGTTGGGGATCTACTCTCGGTTTATCACCTCATGGAACTGGCAATGTGACATCCCTGATGTAACCCACAGTCACATGTGAGGTCTGGGCAGAGGTGGATGAATTAACACTATTCCAGTACAAACCTTCCTTCCTTTTCCCTCTCTATCATAGTTGCCTGCACCTTGCAGAAAATATGACTGTCCCCACATCTGCTTGGTTTGGAAGGCCAGGAACGGTGCAGGCATGAAGTTTGGGATCTGTGTATTCCACCATGGCCTGGCCCTGATGAAAAGAGAAGTAATACCTGCTTTAAAAGGATGCATGTCTGCAGCTTGAGATGAGTGGGGGCTGGTATAAGTGCTGCAGGCTTGATGTGAAATGTGCAGGAAGGTGTTTTGCACTTGTTGATCCAAGCATGGTGTGACTTCTATAGATCAGGATCTATCAAGTGAACTGAGGGAATGTGCAATTTTTTATTGTCTTAAACATTTAACCTATATTTTTATCTCACACTTTATACAATTGTTATAGATGTGGGTATCTTTTGTCATCATTTCCCCATCTGACTTAAAAGAAAAGCAAGTGTTTGCATCTTGGGTATGGTTGTTGGATTTCATCAGATGCTAGGACTCAAAAGTAAGCAGATCTCAGAGCTGGCACTCACTGACAAACCTAGAGCTCAGATACTGTGGAGCTGACCTCCACAAACACAGCTCTGGGATAATTGGTGTTCCTGCCTCTGCAGCTGAAAACAAAAAAAATTAAAAGTGTCTCTCTCCCTCCCTCTCTTTCTCTCCTTTCTCCCTCCCCCCTTTCCCTTAATCTCTTATCTGACAGGGAGCAGAGAGGAAGATCAGGGATGAAGAGCGAAAGCAAAGCAAAAGAAAAGGCAAGTGCACTGACCCCAGCTCTCAGTTGAATGCCTGTAAGTAGAAATTATTCCATCAGTGTTTTAAATACCAGTTTTGATTTTGGCTACAAATATCTTGTGCGGTAGAACTCTAAAGTCAATTTTTCCCACATGGAATAGTGCTTATTTTAAGCAGTTGCGGATGGAGTCGTCATGTTCGGGAACACACTGGGTCACTTAGGGCTTTGTTCTGCATAGTTCTCTCTGTCCTAGGGTCCTGCTGTGTATTCAATCAGGTATGGGTTGTAGCAATTGAAGTGAGAGGGTGTGGGTGGGATTCTTGGGCACTGCTGGAGCCCCAGCAGGTCCAGGTGGCAGCGAGAACTGTATCTGTTCCAAGTGTTTCCAGCTTGATCCTAAACTTAGGCTTTAACTTACATTGAAAATGTTTTACAACTCCTCAGCAAGGCAGCGGCAGCCTTGGAGCTGAGCCTTCAGCCTCCCAGCCCTATGCTCACTCTTCTAGAGCAAAGTGGTCCTTAGTAAATAATTTCAAAGTTTCTGCAGTGTGAAGGCTGTGGAGACCTCAGCACTGTAGTATGTAAGGGCTGAGGAGTTTCTTTCTGCTGAGCATCTTCCTTTAGCTGCTGCAGATGACAGATCCTGTATTTGGATGACTATTCACTAGCAGAGCTGCTTAGAGGAAAATGTATCTCCCTGTTCTTTGTTTGCACGGGGCAGGTGCGTGCTCTCACTTGCTCTGCTCCGTGTGCTATTAACAGCCCGACTGGTTCAACAAGCAGGCGCCTCACAGCTTGTCGGGCAGGATTTTCCTGACGCAGCAGGTACAGGTTGCTGGAGCAGCTTCAGAAGAAGATAATGCTGTAAGGGAACCTATTTGCTCAAGGGCAGTTGTGGAAAGGGCTGGGGTTTTGTTTTTTCCCCGAAGTACATGGTGAGAGGTAGGTTTAGCACACTGTTAGCATTTCACAAATGAAGTAGCCCCAGAGGCTCCCAAAAGATTACTGCACATGGCCCTTTGCATAATGGCTTGAAAGGGAGGACAGTTTCAATATGCCTTTCCAGGATCTTATGATTTTACAAAAGCTGTTTTCCATTATTAATTTTTTAGGCTTGGACTTAGCCTGACATGACGCTTATTTTCCTGGAAAGTACAATCCTTTGCTCTTTAGTTCTTGTGTTGTAAGTTTTTGATTCCTTTAAGCCATAAGCCATTATACCCACCTGCAGGATCACAAATGCCACGTGTGCATGAACTCATCAATAGCATAGAAATAGTTGGTGGCTTTTGGTCAAATTTATTTTTGCAGGGATTGCTCAAGTTTCTTTAAGAAACTCAGTTTTGCAAGGAGAAAAATATGTATTTTCTACTGAGGACATGAGAAATGAAGTGGGTTTTTTTGCAAAACACTTTTTTTGTTTGCAGTTGGTTTGACCTCAAATTCATATGTTTCCACTGGGTAAAATGAAGTCATCAGCTGTGGTAGTTTGACATAAACGTGTCTGAAGTGCAGTTCAAGGCACCTCCTGTCTCACTGTCTCCCAAGTGGGTCTTTGTGGTTGAAGTCTGCCCTCTTGGTGGCTTGTGTCACGTCAGCTGGTGCATTGTGAGAGCTAAAGTGCTCCGTGGGAGAAGAACACAAGTGCTGGTTCTTGGAGGAGGTGGACTAGGATCTGACAGCTTGAGGTGACCAGAATGAACAGTGAGATGAACCAAAATGTGAAACTTTAAAGTGTGGAATCAAAACGTAACTCTCAGTGTAGCAACTTGGAAACCACACAATTTGTACTGCGTCTGTAGTAGGTAGTTATCCTGTGGTGCTGTCTCTTTGAGAGGTTCCCAACTGGGACCACATGAGTTGCAAGTTGTCCCCTTGTCTTCTTTCTGCGTTCCTGGTATGGGAACACCAGCAAGCTTTTGAGGGAATGGACAGGGAAAAGATGGGGCATGGACTAGTTTTTGCCCTCTGTTTGCATGGTTTGCTTGGTATATGGAAGACCTAGGTTCCTCTGTTGGGGTGACTGGCCAGGTTATTCTCCATCCCGCTTAATATCTGAACAAAGTCAAGCGGCTTAATTGGAGAGATAGAGAAAACTTTTACTACTCTGTGAAGCAAGCTGTTTCTTTAGGGCCCAGTCCCTCAGTTGAGAGGTAGACAATCCAAGTTCAAACTCCCTCACTACAGAAGCTTTTGGCTTTGACCCTGACTACAGAGTACCCTTGTTCAGTAGCATATGTGCCTTTTAAATGATGGAGGAAAGCCACAGCCCTATTAGGGCCTTCACTATCCTTTCTTCTGATCTTTGTCTCTGCAGTTTCTGATGTCAAAGTGCCCATGCTTCCCTCACACAAACGTACAGACATCACCATCTTCAAGCCCTTCATGGATCTGGACACTCAGCCTGTCCTTTTCATTCCTGACGTTCACTTTGCAAACCTCCAGCGTGGAGCTCACGTAAGTAAAGTTCATGGGTGTGGGCATGAAGAGGCTCTGGGATGCTGTGTGTGCACATGAAATGTCAGACTGTCTGCATCAATGCTGTAATCAAATACAGGCTGAGTCTCATGTAAGCAAGGGTTGTTGCTCCAAGCTGCATTGGCAAGAGTTAACTGGGGATGTTTTCCCATCAAATTGGTTTCCTATGAAGTCCAGTTTCCGTGAAACTGAAAGGATTTTACATAGCATCTCCACTGATTGAACTGCAGGCTGGTTTTCCCTTGTAATGCCCGTTGGGATCCTGGTGTGCTGTTGTACAGCGCAGGCTCCTCCACCCGCCTGCTGCAGGGTGAGAATCCATCCTGTGGAACTGGCACACGTGTCAGCTCTGTGATCCACTGCCAGAGTGCCCTGCCTCAGTGTTCCTGGAAAGTTCCAACTTACAGGAAGCCGGAAGGGAAAAAATTAGTGTGCAACCAGGTTTCAAAATCTTGGACTTTCCTGAGCCGGGAGTTCTGGTGTGCTCTAACATAATCTAAACTATACTTTTTTAAGAGCATTGTCTAGACTCCTAGCAGGGATGGAGAATAAACATCTGCATGTTTTCCTACAAAGGCCCTAGTGCTGAGGTCTGTCAGACTCTACGCCAGTCCAGGTAGAAAGCTGGTTAGCTGTTCTTTGTTCCTGTCTCTCTCATTTGAGATCCTTTAATCCTTTTTATGAAAAAAGGTAAAGAAGATGCTTACTGGCTTTTGGAAGTTTGATTGAAAGTGTCATTTGATACAGGGTTGAAAGATTATAAGAAGAAATGAATTCTAGTTCTGGATAAAATTTTCACAAAATTTCTCCTTTGTTTTGAAAGGTCCTTCCTGTTGCTTCAGAAGAACTAGAGGGTGAAAGGTAAGAGCTGCCCTTCTTCAACCTACTGATGTCTTGCTCTCAGACAGAGGAGTAAGTCCCTGTACAACTGCTAACTTTTTGCCCTGTCAATGACAGCTCCAACCTGAAGAGAGGAGCTTATATTGGTGAAGAGGACTTCATCGCTACTCCAAATAAGATGGCCAGAATAGAAGAACCAAAAAGAGGTATTTTCTTCTTTCAGTGACTGAATGGTTGGCGTATTTGTCCATCATGATAGAGAGATGCATCTGAGATTAAAGAGTGTTTTAATTTATTTTGGTGTATTCTTCACCCTGATTTCTCTGACTTTGAGTAGTGACAGAGTTTGTGTGTCAGGATGTAGTTCAGCTCTGCAAATCTTTTAGTGTCAGAATGTTTGGGGTATTCTACCAACTCAGACACTAATTGGCTCTGAACCTGTAAGGAAAGAAAGTCAAGAGGAGGTGAGCAGCTTACCAGTCTCCCTAGTGGATTGGGGAAGAGAATTTATCATGTAAGCTGCTACAAAATCTGGAAATCTGCTCCAGAACTTTAGGCAATACTCAAGAACTGGTTCTAGGTGTAAGATTTTTGCATCTTTCATGGTGCCAGAAAATGGGCTAAGAGAATATTCTGCTAATTTTAGCTGTGTTTCAGTCATTGCAATTTCACGTGGGACTGGATGTTGCTGTGGTGTCGTGGAAGGAGATAAGAGGTCCCTTTGGGGTGGTGGACATGGCGTATTTGCCTGATGACAGTCATGTGTGGAAGGACCACAACAAAGCTTGAAATATTAAACTTGTATTGCAGCAAAGGTTTAGCAAGTCTGACCATAATGGGGCTGCACTTCTGTAGTCTGGATATACTAGTAAGGAAGGATGGATTTTATAAAAGGAAATTAGACTTCTTGTTTTTTCATGTTTCTGTATGCCGTAAGACAAGACCCATGGGATTCTTTCTCCTTTGACTGGGTGTCATCTGACCTGTGCTGTAACTGAGAGCATGTGTGCTGTCTTCCTTTTTTTAGATCTACAGCCTGTCTTTTTTAAACCTGCCTTTAGCAGAGGAAATGCATCCGGGTGCTGTGCTGTCCTGAGTTGACCTTGTTCAATTAGAAATGCCAGTAGTTGTTCCGTGTTGCAGGTGTGTCAAAACTGTGGCTGATAAACCCCTGCAAAGAATCCAGGCTGCAATACCTAGTCATTAGAAGATGGATTAAAGACAGCAAAGCTGTTAAAGGCCAAGCTTTCTTGCTTTCCTGGCTTATTCCTCAACCTTAATGCAGTTTTTAATGAGGCTGATGTTACATATAATGACTCTGTGCTAGCTTGAGAACGCTAGGGATGCTCACCTAATTGGGCTTCTTACTCCTTCATTGCCCTCCTAGCAGGAGACCAAGCCTGTATTGTCTGTCAGCTGTGGTGGTATGAGCATTACTGAAACACAGCAAGGGATTGGAAGAGATGAGACAGCTAGGAGGAGCAGAGGACTGTACAAATAAATTATTTAAAAGTTAGAAGATGTCCAGGATGGGCTTCACCTGGTGTGGTAGCATCTGTCAGATCATTTGATTGTGCAAAGTCTTATGGCAGATAACCTGTGAGACATAGAGGAACCCAAGAGTCTGAAAGGTTTGCATTTTGTCTTCCTCCTTTCTGTGTTTCAAGTATGACCTTTTTTCAAATAATAGAGAAAATATCAAATAGAGAAAATATTAAAGTATTTTGACAATAAAGATGCTTGAGCATGCAATAGCTTTATGTGCAAAAAAAGTACGTTTTGAGTTAATCTAGCTGTGCATGTCTGTAATGCAGTCTGCAATGTGTATTGAACATATGTATGTCCATCTCTTCGTAAGATCCTCGGAGTGTGTCACTGTGTGCTTAGCCACTATGGGATACAGATCTTTTTGAGGACCAATTACGCAGTTAATTCCTCTCTCCAAATTGCTTTTCAGTGTTGCTGTATGTGCGAAAAGAGTCAGAGGAAGTCTTTGATGCACTGATGTTAAAGACACCATCTCTGAAAGGCTTAATGGAAGCGGTAAGTGACGAGGTTGTTTTATAGTCCTTGCCTCCCACTTGAGAAAGAGCGAGTGTAGCCCTGGCTACCCAGTGCTGACACACTGGACAGTCACAGGAGTCAGACTCTCAATCACAGCTTGTGTCCACATATTTCTGCCCTTCTGGATAAGAAGCATAAGGCTGATTTCCTTTCAATAACATGGAAATTAATTTAAATAATGCTTTAATTCATTATTAAGGGACTTCAGGAAGCTTCTCTTTTAAGCACCTTCTCCCACATCTGTGGGGTCTGAGTGTAAGAAGCCTTTCTGAAAATCTGGGTGTGTCAAACTTGATGACTGGATGTTCCTCTTGTCAGAGAGGGTATTTTAGTCAGAGGATGGAGTGATTCCCAGAATGTGTTCAGTGGTTTGGGTTTGTTTCAGTCTTTCAAAGCCTCGTTTGGGGGCCTCCCCTGTCGTTTCATAAGCAGTTATGCAGAGCTCCAAGTCCCAGCTTCTGTGTGTGCTTGAAGACTTTTATATATCTGTGCACCTGTGTGAAATTGCTCTCTGGTACTTGACTTCCAAAACAGCCTTCCACTACCCCTGCTGCTGCAGTGCAAGGGAAATACAGAGTTTAAGTCCAAGGAATGGTGTAATGTTTGGCAGGAGCTCAAAACTGACGTTTCTGTCTGTCTGTTTCTGTGACTAATGCCTTGTTGATGCTCAGAGCACAGGAGCTTGGGGCTGTACAGACAGGTCTTGCCATTAACTTTGGGACCCAGAGGTGGTTCTGTAACCAGAATCTTTATCTCTTCCTGGCTTTGAGGCTTTGCCAGCACAGACAGCTGGAGGTGGGGGGCTAATGGAGAGAGGGATTGAAGGCTGTGGAATCCTCCCTTTCTCCGTGGTCCTGAAATGAAGCTGCACCTTTGTTGTTACTCTTGGATTTCTTAAAGCAAGGAACTAAGAGCTCACAGCTGTAGCTTGGGGGAAACTCCGCGTGCTTTTTCTGCATGCTGAAACAGCATATTGGTTTGGTACTTGCTGTTGGTGTGACAGAGCAATTTGCCAAAGTAAACCAGGCTTAGGTTACTGACCTCCTGACTTGCTGGAGTGCAGTGAGATGCCGTGGTCAGTGGCTGTGGTTTCACACACGCACATTGACATCACCTTGCTGGGTAGGGGGAATGTTTCTGATCACCTTGTGCCCTTAACAGCAGAGAGCTTCACTCTGTTGCTGTTTTCTTCCTGCACCACCCACTGTCATGACTAGTTTTCACTTGATCCCTCTGGCACTGAATTTAAAAATGTGTTTCAGTATGCTAAGAGAACAGACAGTCAAGAGAGAATGAGAATCAGGGTGTGGAATGGGTTTTTAATGCTTTTGGGTGTAGGGGCAGGAGGTTGCTGTATGAGAAGTCAGTGGCCAGGTCTCAAACATAATTAAATTTTTTTCACAGAATTTGGCAAACCGCAGAAGAGGGTTTCTGATCTGTAGGCTTATGTTATAGGTCAGGATTTAGTGTTGCCTTTATAGAGCAGAGCAGTTGTCTTCATTTGCAGGCTTTTTTTTTTTTTGTTCCTTTCTGTAAAATAGAAGGGGAGGATGGTGCCAGCAGTCTCCTTGCCTTACCAATGATCGCTGTCTTTCATTCTAGATATCTGACAAGTATGACGTTCCTTTTGATAAAATAGGAAAAATCTTCAAAAAGTGTAAAAAAGGGTGAGTATGTACCTATGCAAAAACTGCCTAAGAATATGAACACCTTTTTTCAAACCTGTAGGAAGGTCTGCTTTATAATTCCTCATACACTGCACATATATGAAAACCATATGCAGTTATGTGTGTGTGTACACAACGTACATGCATTCCAACATCATTCATAGAGCTGAAGACTGGAAGACTATAGGAAGGGTCCTATAGAAATATGGAGTTTAACTTCCTGGGTAAATACAAGTCATGGAACCTCTCTGAGATAATTGTTACTTGAACTGGAGTTGATTATGTCAGAGGAAGAAGAGTTCAGTTTTTTTTAAAGACTCACAGTGATGAAGAACCTCCTTCAACCTATGTTAAATTGTTCCAGTGGTTGATTGTGCTCACTGTATCTGCATTTGACTACGATTCTACACCTGGTTGTCTTTTTGTGAGCTAAATTGAAGAGAACTTTATTGTGAAGTGTCTGTTTCTCACAGAGGCCACACTCCACCATGTTTTTATTTTGTAGCATAAATAATTGAGTTCGCTTTTGCTTTTCCTTTTAACTTCTCAGTAATTTTGGGGGGTTTTCTCTAAAGTCACATTGATGTTTCAGCCCCTTCACCAAAGACCTTCTGGCCAGAACATTATATCTTTCGAGGGTAGTGCTTTTATAGCAGAATTACCCCACCAGAATAGCTGCAAAAGTTTAGAATTTATGATACCTAAATCACTGCTAAGCACAGCTTTGTATGCAGGTGTGCCCACAAACACACAGGTATCAACCTTTCTAGCAAATGGAAGAAGTGGCCAAGTATTGGTGGTTTCTTCCCTGCAAACTCTGTAGGGTTTTGTGCTGATAGTTTATAAACTGTCGAGCAAACCCATTAAGAGCCCCAAGTGTCTGCAGCTTCAGAAGGATTTCTGCCAAGATCTCTCTCCCTTTCTGGTCCAGGATCCAGATTTAACCCTTCCATTCAGACCCTAAAAGTGTGTTTGCAAGCCTTGATGGCAGGTTTGGGTAAAGACAGCCAGATCTGCTGTAGGAAGCAATGAGTCAGAGAAAGGTGAGCAGGGATCCACTGTTACCCCTGGATAGTCCAGGCTTTCTGAGGTTTGAGGGTGCCTTTGCTGTCTTTGGCATTTAGAACTGTAATATATCTGATCTGTTTTATTTTTCCAGAATTCTGGTCAACATGGATGATAACATTGTGAAACACTATTCTAATGAAGATACCTTCCAGTTGCAGATTGAAGAAGTTGGAGGATCTTATAAGCTCACTCTGACTGAGATCTAAGATCACAGATCCTCTGTGGATTCTAAACAAAGGTCTCAAGTGAACATTTTCCCATAATTCAGTACATTGGGCAAAACACTAATGATCTTCTCCAGAAGAAAGCCATGTGTTGACTTGTTCTGGGGAGCAGAGCAGTGGTTTTGCTTAATACATTTGTGTTTCTGTTCTTGTTCATGACCTTATTTGCACTTGAAATGAGCGAGCAAAGATCTGCAATTAAATGGAGAGCATGTATATATTTATACTAGTGTATAAAACACTAGTAAATACAGGAGGGTAACACTCCTGGAAGGTGGCCTTTTAGACTGGTGATATCTTATTTATCTATTCCGTAACCATGTTTGAGCCCATTATCAGCTAATACCATTTTACTGGACTGTTTTCTGCTAGGTAGAGCTGCACAACTACTAATTGGAGTTGCATGCAGGTTGGACAAAAGTCTTTATAATGTTTACTTGTGACCAGGGCAGACTGTTGAAATCATTTGTGTCACTTGGGGGGAACATAAAACTGCCTTGCTTATGAAGAACTCGCCTTAGTAACTGTGTGAACTCTCATCAGATGAAGCTATATTGTATATAAGTGCAATATATTTTTGAAGGTTTGTAAATGTGTACATACGAGTGATATATAATATATATATAAAATATGGTGTTCTGTATATACCGTGAATATATGCAACGAAGCCCATCTAAAAGGATGCCATATACAGAGAAAACATATTTAACATAGATATTTAAAAATGGACAAACCCTTAACATGCACCAAAGGTGAGCACACGTTTGTACGTTCATAGGAGGCACAAGGGACCTGCTTGTTCAACATGGATCTTCCTGTGTGGGAGGAAAATGGTAGTGGCTCTCTCCTAAACCCTCCTGCACAGCCACGATGGCAGTCCTGGGCTTCTCTTAAGAACTGCCAGTTTGAAACAGCTGGGTACTGCTGCCCTGGGAGGTAATTTGGGCCAAGTATGAGAGTTGGATCCCAGGAGGAGCTGAGCAGATGCAGTTCCCTTGAAGTCTCACTTCTAGGGGTCAGGAAGGTGGATTTTCTTTTTTCTGTAGCAGTGTACTTAAGGCTCAGCTGGATGCTGCCCACACCAGCAACTCAGGCTGGATGAACCCAGGGGCTGGTGCCAGCTTGCAAAGTCATAGGATGTCAACAACAGGAAATGCACAGGCAAGGTTTTTGAGAGAGGAAGGTGGCATCATGGCTCAACGGGCCAAGTGTTGGCAGGGAGTAGGGCCTGCAAGCAGGTTACACATTCTTGGTGTCTGTGCATCACATGGACCCACTGCAGAGCTGGAGGGACCACACGGGCAGCAGGCATCTTGAGCCTAGAACCAGCTGGGAGTGCCAAACACCTCCAAAATTTACTGCTCTGCACTATTTACTCGTTGTGTGCATGTGCTTATGAAGGAAAGGCACCCTCTGGTTAGTAGCAAGTAAGGGAGGAGCATTTTAACAGCAGCACTTGGCTCTAAGGCAAAAACCTGCATTACATGGTGAGCAGATGAATGTGAGTGCCATGTCCAGTGTCAGAGATTTTATTAGGGATCTGGATAATGAAAAAAGGTTTATAATGTTTTTAGATGGCACGAAGCTGCACATGCCTCACTTAGGACATGAAGGCCAACCTGTAAAGCCTGGAGAAATAGTCCAGAAAAGTAGGATATGAATCTGTTTAATAATTAAAGATTCTACTTGATAGTTAATGAATCATAACTTAAATTGTTCAGCTCTTTTGTGGTTCTGTTTGGAAGAGAGAGGCAAATACCACATTGAGTTGATCAACAGCAGCATGGCCTGCAGGAAATCTGAGATCCACCTTTTGCATTGCTGAGGCCTCTGCTGGAGAGTGGTGCCCTGCCAGCAGAGCCTGGTCCTAGTGGATGTCTCAGAGAGGCCAGACCATCCAGTCCTTCAGCCAGAGCTCGTGGCTTCTGAAGCGGAAGGGCTAGATGATTTGGCTAGTGAAGGGTCATCTTCAGAAGGGAAGGTTGACGGGAGCAGCCTCCCAACCTATGGAAGTGTTCTCCACATCCATTGCGAGCACAAGTAGTGGGTGTAAATTGCAGAAATTCAGGTCAGGTGTTGAGGCAGTTTCCTCTAATGAGAAGAGCAGGTTGCTCAGGAAGGTGGTGGTTTGGCATTGGAGGTCTTCAGAGCCAGGCTGGGCAAAGATATCTCTGGACTGTCACAGGTGTAATTGATTGTCCCTTGGTGCTGAAACCAGGTGATCACTTCAAGTCCCTCCCCACCTTATCTTTTCATGATTTATATGAAATACAGTATTTTGGGATTTGTATTAATCCTGAGCTGGTTCATGGACCACTCCATTCCCCCCTCCTTTCTTCTCTTCTTGTTGATGGGCCCACCAGAGGGCTGACGATACTCTGGGCACCACGTGCTCCCCTCTTTGCTCTGTGGCTGGAGTTGGGCAAACTCCACATGGATGCATCTATGACAGTGAGTATGTGGACAGAACCCATGGGCTCAAAGCTGAAGGAGGGAAGCTGATGTACAGCACAACATGCAGAGACTTGGCCAACACATGCCACCCCATACAGGAATCCACTGCCTGCAGAGCAGCCACGGGACTCGCCAACCCGCCACTTGGGCTTCCCTTCATCAGTCATGGGAATAATGTTACTATGGCAAGGGAATTTTTTTAAAAACTTGATATATAGAATACATATATATATTTACACATTTTTATTGAAAATGGAAGTTTTATTACAGAAACTTGGTCTAGGGTCAGGGAAATAGATTTAGAGTCTCCATAGAGGTAAGATTGATATGAATGTTATTTCTTTTTACTGCTTAATGAAGTATGTGAACTAAATCTGACGATTGTTTTCCACTATAAGATACTCTGGGACACGGGTCTTATAACAGTAGCAGCAATGTCATGTATGTTTTATGAAACTGATTTTTTTGTTTTGCCTGCTGTTTTTTAATTGAAAATGTATTTTAAACCAAGCTATTAAATTTTTTATGTTCATTTCTAATGATGAGTCTTTTATATAACAAATGCATCTGCTCTTATCCCTTTGTTTTTCCTTTGACAGGGAATCTGTAAAACCCCAGTTATCATTTCCTTGGTTTTTTTCCAAAAAAAAAAATAATCCCAGTGCCAGCCTTGCTGCTGTTCCTGCATAAGAAATGGTCACTCCTATTCTCACTCCCTGCTTTATTTCAACACATTCATTTCAATTCATTTTGCATGTGAAGAATCTGTGCAGTATTTTGTTTCCATAGGACCCTTTGGCAGGAGAGCAAAACATCCAGCTCAGGTGTGCAACTGGGTCGGTGATGCCTGGTGGCCTCTGCTGGAGGGGGCATTGCCACCTTCTGGGCCCTGTGCAGCAGTGGATGGGTTCTGCTATCTCTGTAGATGTGGAAGGCGAGCTGTGGGCTCATAGTGGTGCTGGCAGCTGTCCCTGGCTGCCAGTCCATGGTGCTTTGTGTAACTTCCAGCCCACAATCACTACAGAGAGTAGTGGATGTCCTTCCAGGAGGAGCTGGTTGTAATGGGCACTTGCTGGGCGGCACAGGGACCACTGGTGAAGCTGCAGGTACTGACTTTCCCAAGCTGAAAACAAAACTCGTGCTAATATCTCCAGGATAACCCTAATGCCATGGTGTCTTGAGGGGTGTGTACCTCCTCTTTTTCACTGTCAGAAAATGTCTCAACAAGCTTTGGCTGCAGCTGGCTCCCCAGCCCCTGCAGCGGGTGCTGTCCTGGGGCAGATTCTGTGCCGGCACCTTCCCAACTCTGGGTTTGCATCGACATGCCCAGGGCTGGGTGGGGAGCAGTGTGGGTGGCAGAAGATTTCTGGGGTAGGAAAAGGCAGGTAAAACTTTATTTATTTTCTTATTTATTTCTAGTTTCTCTACAGGCTGTGCTGTAGTTCTGTGTCCCAGATGTAGGAATATGCTGCAGCATGTCACCTGGCGAGTCATGGCGTGCCTTGGGTGCTGCACAAGTGCTGGGGGATGCCCTGTGTCATCTCCACCTGACTCGGTGTCACTGAAAGACTGAGTGGGGTGTTGCCCTCATAAAGTCGGTGTGTGGCATGGTGGCCTCCTCACAGCAAACCTCAGCATGAGGCTGGATGGGCTGCAGGGCCGGCTGTGAAACGGCTGCAACTTCCTCTCCCCTGGGCGTGTGACATCATCATTTTCCTCAGCCTTTAGCCCTCCTTCCTCCTGAGACACTGTCAGCCCTTTTCTATTCAAGTGACTTTAAAGGACGTGAAGGTGAGCCCCCAGAGATGCAGCTTTGAACTCTCAAGGCAGGCAGACTTCCATGGAGATCTGTGCCTCTTCCCTGTGGCGTGACTCGGGACTAGTATTGCAAACATTTAGTTAGGCTTTTAAGATCTGACTTTTCTTATAAGAAAGCTGAATTCGTGTTAGTCTCCAGCTTCATGATGGAGCTTTGTCTATTAATTGCAAAACCTTTTTCTAAGAGCATGGAACTTAGATGCTCCTCTATTTGGTTTGTTTGTACTTAAGATCATTTGACTTATGATTAAGCTATTAAATATTAGACAATATTTAGACAACACCTCAACTAGATGAATTGGTCCAATATATGAGTTCTTGTTTTGCTGTTTGTCCTTGGACTACCCTACCTTCTTCACTGGGTACCTTTGCATAGTTCACAATGCTGTAGAAGGGATATTTGGCCTTTTTTTTTTTTTTCTCCTTGGCTTTTCAGTAGCTGCTGTGGCTGGGGTGATTGCAGGGTTTTTGGCACATCTCACAGTTTCTTGTTTGCTTAGGGCAGTGCTCCACCGCCGCACTGAGCTGTTTGCCTGCACACACAGGTCGTGGGATGGCCGGTGTGCCCGCTGCCTCAAGCGTTACTTATTTTGTCATGTCCAGCGTGCCCATCCCGCAGGCTGCAGGTGCACGAGCAAATACCAGCTGGTGACCAGTGTCAACAATGTTGAACTTGTGTGCCCCTGTTGCAGTGCTGGTCATCTCAAGGAGCATCCTGAGCCCGGCAGTGGCCTGCAGATTGGTCACTGCCACCACAGTTTGGGAAGCACACACCAGGCAGAGGAAAGGTGTGTGGCTGAGCCTGGCAGCAGCTCTAATGAGTGGAAACACAGTGGAGAAATGTGTTTGGGGATTTGATACCTGGAGGTGGGGACAGCCCTGATCTCAGGGATTGCCTGTGAGTGAGCCCCCCACCTGGCCTTAGCAGGGGCTGAGCTGTTCCTGTGGGGATGCTGCCTGTGGGCTGCCCCAGCTCAGCAGAGGTGATGGTTTTGATGAGAGAAGGGCCCAAATCCAGCACATGTCTATAGAGACACAGCTCGTTCCTGCTCATCTGTACGTGCTGCGGGGCCAGGGACCACAACAGTGCCTCATACCCATGGCTAGCAGCACACCCAAGACCCCATGCTGACTTCCATTGCTTTTCATTGCTTCAAAATTTTAAACGTCCCTTCAGGAACTGCAGAGGAAATTTGAAAGATGTCTCAAAAGGAAGAAAAATTATGATAATTTTGATCC